ATTTCTGCTGGCACCCACTGAGGCAAATAATAAATGTCCTTTTCTGCAAGACCCATTGTCTCAAAAGGTGGCTTTTTTGGACAAAAGACAAAAAACATACAGTCTCTAGCAGTATTTCAATTGTCCATTTATCTAAATATTTTAATTGGTGTGAAGCTTTTCATGCATACTTCATAATTCTTTAATTTCCTGTCCAAACTCAGGATTTACATGCATTGCAAAAGATCATGAAAGATCCTGGATATTGTTATAGGATTATGATAGGCAGGTGTTTTGTTTTTACTGACCACTGCTATCTTTTCAGTATCTCTGAAATTACATCTCTTCTCTGTTTGAGAGGCTATTTTTACCAACAAATAATGTATTAGATGTTATTAGCTATCATATCAGCAGAATTTCTACTAAAGACAATCTGACCAACTAAATGATCAGTTTCAACTGTTTTGCCTGAAAAGTAAAGGCAACAGTTTCCAAGATTCTTGGACATGTTTGCATCTACCTCAAATGCTCCCTTCTCTTGGTTACAATTAATTAGTAGGACTGGTGCCTTTTTACCTTCCTGGCCTTTGGAACAAAGCCATTCTAGGCCACCTGATATCTTTGGTCTGATTGAATTACATTAACGCCACTCATAGGATCATCTGTGCAAAGAGTCCACTATCAATTCCTGAAGGGTCGGTGAACATATTTGCAAAGAATACTGTGGGAGTTTTGACTAGAAAACCTTTATAATGAAAAGAGGGAACATTCAGGCTTTTCAAGATGAGTTCAGTGGAACAGGTAAGTGAAACCCAGGAAAGAAGAAAGAGGGTTAAAATGTTTTATTCTATTTTCCATTGCGTGCCACATTTTGGAAACTTGTTTCTTCGACTATTGCTTGTTCTCTCAACGAAGTCGCCCTAGAGAGAAGTAGATAGGAGCCAGATGAGGGCAAGTCTTTTTGAACTCACATGATGGTGTAGAAATCATTAGTCTAGCATACAATAGATTGTGCACCTGGTTAATTCTGATTGTAGACAACTCTTTGAAATCCAAATGCACTAAATGAGAGGGGTATAAGAGCACCTTCATTCATTTCCATAGTACCAGACAGTTGCAGGAAAATTATCACCTGTTAACCCAGCTGCATATTCAGCTCTCCACTGGATTTCTTCAACCACAAGTTCAATAGATTCTAACACTGGGCAATTTTCAAATCAGTGAGGATTGTGGGTAGAGTATGAATTTATTTAGGAACAGGTTCACTTCTAGCTCAATACTAATTGTCATGTGTGTTACATAGTACCCACATGTGCAGAGGTGGATACATGTACACAAATGCATTAACTCTATGTGCACAATGGAAGAATTATCCCCATGAAAATTTCATGTACACACCAAAATAACTAGTTCATAGTAATGGAAATCATGTTAGTGCTAAGGACTTGTTTTATTTAACAGTTCTTTTTTTTGCAGAATTATAATTGTGCTATGAGCAGAATATCTTTTTCCTTCATCAATACGTTTCCAGAGAAAATATAATTATTGGGGGACATACAATAAATTATGCCTGCCCACATAAAACATTCATCCATGTAATGAATAGGGCACTAATTTTCAACAGTTATTCCTTCACCAGGCTGCATTCTTACTTCCTCCAAATCCAGTCCAAAAATATGGACCTGGTTTGAAGGATGTAACCTTCTTCAGGAGGAAGAGAAGTTACAGGGAAAATGAATAATAAATCCTTTGTCTTCCCATTTCAGATATATCTTTGTGTCAGTGATTTCCATTATTTCTATTATAGTTCCTACAGACAATATTAAACTGAAATGATATTTGTTCAAGAAGCACTTTGAAAAGAAATGGCATGCATTTAATTAGGTCATATTTAAAACATTTGGACATAATTAATCTACTCCGGGGTGAGATTTGGTTTATTATATACATATACCTAATGTTTATGCTCAGTTTTCATATACATTACTAAGCCAGAATCCTTCCAACAATCCTGAAACATAAGTTTAGTTTAGTTTAGTTTAG